CCTCTCCTTTATCCTTTTTCCCTCTCTTTTATCCTTTTTCCCCTCTCCTTTATCCTTTTTTTCTCTCCTTTATCCTTTTTTCCTCTCCTTTATCCATTTTCCTCTCCTTTATCCTTTTTCCCCTCTTTTTTATCCTTTTTTTTCTCTCCTTTTTATCCATTTTTCCCTCTCCTTTACCCTTTTCTCCTCTCCTTTATCCTTTTTTCCTCTCCTTTTTCCCTTTTTTCCTTTTTCCCTCTCCTCTATCCTTTTTCCCCTCTCCTTTATCCTTTTTTTCCCTCTCCTTTATCCTTTTTTTCTCTGCTTTATCCTTTTTTTTCCTTTTTTCCTCTCCTTTCTCCTTTTTTTCCTCTCCTTTCTCCTTTTTTTCCTCTCCTTTATCCTTTTTTCCCCCTCTCCTTTATCCTTTTTTTTCTCTCTCCTTTATCCTTTTTTTTCCAGGAATATTGCGACGAGAACCCCGAAAAATTCCGATTTTAAACCTTTTTTTGCTGTTTCTGAGCCAGATTTCTGTTCCAGGCATCCACATCCTGGCCGTTGGAATCTCGGGAGCCGATCCCGTGGAACTCAGCCGGATCCTGCCGCGGGAAAACCCCCGGAATATTGGGAATATTTTCTACGCCGGCACCTTCGAGGACCTTCCCCAGGTCCTGCGGGAGCTCATCGAGGCTCTTTGTTCCCACCCTCTGCTCCCGGCTGGAAAGGTGAGATCCCAAAAGGATTCCCGGGAATATCAACCAGCCCTGATTGGGTGTGGAATGTTGCCCAAGGATGATCTTCCCCGGGGCAAAATGGGGATTTAGGACAACGGGTCCCAACACTGATTTAAACACAGACTAAAGCATAGACTTAAATACAGATTAAACACAGACAAAACACAGGTTTAAACACAGATTAAACACAGGTTTAAACACAGATTAAACACAGATTAAACACAGATTAAACACAGGTTTAAACACAGGTTTAAACACGGATTAAACACAGATTAAACACAGACAAAACACAGATTAAACACAGACTAAACACAGATTAAACACAGGTTNAAACACGGATTAAACACAGATTAAACACAGACAAAACACAGATTAAACACAGACTAAACACAGATTAAACACAGGTTTAAACACAGATTAAACACAGGTTTAAACACAGATTAAACACAGACAAAACACAGACTTAGACTTAAACACAGACTAAACCACACATTTAAACGCAGATTAAACACAGATTTAAACGCCGATTAAACACAGGTTTAAACACAGATTAAATGCAGATTAAACACAGATTAAACACAGGTTTAAACACAGGTTTAAACACAGACAGAACACAGGTTTAAACATAGACAAAACACAGATTTAAACACAGATTAAACAAAGATTTAAACACAGATTAAACACAGGTTTAAACACAGGCAAAACACAGATTAAACACGGGTTTAAACCCAGATTAAACACAGACAAAACACAGATTAAACACAGGTTTAAACACAGATTAAACACAGGTTTAAACACAGATTAAACACAGACAAAACACAGATTTAAACACAGGTTTAAACACAGACAAAACACAGATTAAACACGGGTTTAAACCCAGATAAAACACAGATTAAACACAGGTTTAAACACAGACTGAACACAGGTTTAAACACAGGTTTAAACGCAGACAAAACACAGGTTTAAACACAGATTTAGACTTAAACACAGATGTAAACACAGACATAAACACAGATTAAACACAGGTTTAAACACAGATTAAACACAGGTTTAAACACAGACTAAACACAGGTTTAAACACAGATTAAACACAGGTTTAAACACAGATTAAACACAGATTTAAACACAGACTAAACACAGGTTTAAACACAGGATTAAACACAGGTATAAACACAGACAAAACCCAGATTAAACACAGATTTAGACTTAAACACAGGCTAAACCACCGACTAAGACTAAACCACCGTCCAAGACTAAACCACCGACCAAGACTAAACCACCGACTAAACCACCGACTAAGACTAAACCACCAACTAAACCACCGACCAAGACTAAACCACCGACTAAACCACCGACTAAA